AACTGAATATATTTACGTTCTATACTGACAAACATTTAAAGACTTTGGACATATATACTATATATTTGTCTATTGTGGGACCACAGTTTTTCTCTTATATAAATCCTATTATTTCCTCGCTCGCAAGAAGCAAAGGTCAAATCACTTGTCTTGACTAGCTTTCCAGTGCTTGGCTGAATTCAGAGTTTGGCTGTCCATTGAGACATGTCAAGCTGGGTTCTATTCAGTAAGTTACCACACAAGTAGACAGTTGTTGTTGTGGAGTTGTGAAATCTTCTCCAGTCAGAAGCAAAGCAGAGAGAAAAGAGCAGAGTGTCTTTACTGAAGCTAAACAGGAAGCGGGAGAAGTGTATTCCAGGAAATGTGGCCAGAGCACGTCACTAATGTGTATGCAAGGGATTATTTTGTGTTGATACTAAAAGGCAATTTGTCCATGACCACAGCAGCACACAATGACAATAGTGTTGTAAAATATACATTAGAGAATGATTGTTACTAGCCTACAAGCATGGCTGTTGTCAAGACCATTCAGGCCATGTCAGCTTGAAGTTTATGCACACTGCTGCAGTTTTAGGAACATTAGCAGTACCCTGTCCAGGAATGTGCTGCCTTTTACATTTTGAGGAAAGAAAACAGGGGCAAAGAACAAAATGCACATCCTGATTATCAACACAAATGTCCATTACTTCCTCAACACGGGACATGTGAAACACTTCCTGTCAACCCCTTATCCTAAAGGGGGAAAAAACCTTTTATCATAATAAAACTCAACTCAGCAGGATATGAAGCTTCGAAGGTCAGCAGTGAGGACAGGATATATCTCTGCCACAATGTCATTTAAATGTTGTTCACACTCTTACACTCTACAGTTTCACAAAACTTTAAACTGTCTCGCCAAAGGGGGAGTTGAATGAACACGTTGAAAGACTTGGAAATCCTCTAACTGGGGTGCAGACTTTCTTTTACCTCCCAAATTGTCCCATTTAAAGTGAATATCCAAGGTTAGCAGATGATTCGCATTAAAGAGCAGGGTCATTCTTTTTTCAAGCCTGCTTAAAAGCTTCAAAAGTTCGTGTTTTAGTAAAACTCCTTCCTCTATATATATATATATATATATATATATAATTTTATTTAAGTCAAGTATTCTTTTTTTTATCAACAATAAAGTTGAAAGTAGAAACAAACTTGTATCAGAGACATTAAAACAGTCCAATTGGAACCAGGGCAAACAAAAGCTGGATTAAGACTAAAAACTGCAACAATTAGTCGACTAACAGGGAAATGTTGGCAATTAACTGATAGTTATTAAAAATAATTTGCAAGCAAAAATTGCAGATTTGAACCCTTTTTTAGCCTTTCAAATATGGAAATGTATTTTTTTACATCTTATTAAACTGAATTTATATTGGGTTATTGGGACTGACAAGACATTTGAAAACATCATGTTGGACTTTGAGAACCTGCAATGGACATTTCCTTCATTTTCTGACAGTTCATATACCAATGATTGTAGATTGGAGCCGTAATCATGATATCCCTATTAATAAGGGTTATTCTAATTGCCACTATTAACAGACAGCACTTCACTAAACAAATTTGTTTCAGACACACTTGCCAAAAAGTGATTTAAAGGCCCTGTGATGAGTATTTCTGTCTTTGCTGACTCCTAGTGGTACTATGTGGTAGGACACCTTCACCAGACCTGTCGAATTATCCTTTATTTTCAGATGTCTGTCTGTCGTGTAGATCTAACCATGTTATTCATACATATATTTGAGACTTTTGCATTGACAAGTAGGCCTACATAGGCTACGTGGCGCAGAAAAAATAAAGTCTGTGTCTTCCGGAAAAATAGTGTACTAACACCAAGCGGACGTTTGCCGCCACTGAGTCAACTGAGTCTTCTGTTGTAGGAAAAATATGACATTCTATAAGAGCAGCTACATGCTAAAGGATACAATGTAGCCAACGGTGTGCAACGTTCAACTGCACCTTGTAAAACTGAATAACGTTGAATAAACACGCAGTCAAACACCTGTTAGGTAAAACAAAGTTTTACTTCTTTCTCTTGCCTTAAAGGCTAATGTTTATGTGATAAAAAAAAGCCACATAAAATCAAAAACGTTCACACGCCTATTGAGAGCAGAAAACGGTTGCTACAGTCTCCCTGCTAGCGAATGCCCCCAAACGCTACGTCTTCTCACTAGAGGAAGTCACCGCAGACTCCTTACCAACATATATACATTTTAAGGCTATTTGACGCTGCCTAGCTTATAGTCAAATGTAACGAATGCATATGCATGACAGGACAACATTTTAACTTATTTTGGCTTCTATTCTTCAATTCGGCATTACTATCGATCGATATCTATTGATATATTTAGGGAAATGTCCACTTGTAGTCCTGTGAAATCAACAGAGGAGAGTGACAGTCATGTGAATCAGGTCTATTTTCGTAGTGTCCTTCGCGCACAGGCTAACAGAGAGTTCCCCTTTCTTAGCTCGAGGACGAACGTCTTCAATTCTCATCCTTTGATAACACGAAAACGGTATGCTTCTCTTACCTGGTCCCCGCTTTGTCCCCCATCTCCTCCGAGCTGTGTGGAGTATCTGTTGTGTGCTGGTGTGTTGCCTGTCTCGCTCCAGTGTGTCCGCTGCTACTGCTACTGGCAGCTTTTTGGAATAAATCAGCCTGTTTCCGCAGTTTGGAGAACAAGCCACGCCCACAATTAATATGATGGACACCACAATCACTCAATATGCTATAATACACCTGCAATGCAAACGCTCTACTAGTAATAATAAAAAGTGGTTTAATCCAAAGCCTACAAGTGGTGGATGAAGTATTCAGATCAGTTACTGATTTCACACTGTAAAAATAACATGTTTTAAGTAAAAAAATACCTGCTTTGAAAATGATATAGCCTATGCATGACAGTATAATTAGGAACATGTCATCATTAGGCTAAAATAAGGAAAAAGTCCATGTGAATATTATATATTTGGTTATGATTATTCATGCATTCATCTAGAAAAGCATGATTTAACCCTTAAATGATGTTGGGATCCTGGGGGATATGGTCACTTGACAGGCTGTGTAGTGTGTACATGGGTAAAATGGGTTGTTATAATGGGGTTACACAGGTGTAATATGGGTCTAATACAGTATAATATTGGTTTAATAATAGTGTAACATGAGTGTAATAGGGGTGTATTAATGTGTAATATGGGTGTTTTTAGAGTTGAATTACCGTGGAATATTGGTGTAATTTGGGTGTAATAACTTAGGTGTAATGTAGGAAATCCCAATCAATTAATTTTCCAAAATATATACATGTGATGGCCCATTTAAGGATTAACTAGTGAGTTGAGATGAAGCTATTCTTTTACTTTTTTTAATCAGACTGCAACTAATGATTATGTTCATTATGGAAGAATTGTTTTCTCTAATAATCGATTGATTGTCTGGCTCTGGCTTGTAACATTTAGAAAATATTAACAATTGTCATCACAATTTTAAAAAAACCCAAAGGGACAATTGCACAATGTTGTGTCCAGCCAAACAAAAACAAGAACAAAATAAAACATATACATGCTTAAAATGTTGGGAAGTATATAACAAGAAAACTCGTAAATTTTAAGTAGTCGGAACCATGCCATGTTTTTGTAGAAATTAAGTGACTATAATACAAATAAATGCTCCTATATTCAAACTCTTCATAATTCATTTGTAATGTAGAGGTTAGATAAATGTATGAGTAAAAAGCAAAACATATTTCTCTCATATCGTATAGGAAATATAAAGTGTTATGAAAAGAAAAGACTCTGGTAAATTACAAAAACTCAAAATGGTAGTCTACTGTCTTTGATGTCTTTTTTGTTACATTCCAACTTTAAACTACCGTAACAGATTTCTGAGGTACTTGAAACAATGGTGGAATAACTCAGGTCCTTATGTTAAAGCAGGACTATAACAATGTTGGACTACTCAATTACAATAAAAGACCTGCTTAAGTAAAAGTACATTGTTAACAGTCATCTCAAGATGGAACTGATTTTAATTTGATATAATGATGGTTCCCAAACTAGGGGTTGGACCCCTCCAAAGGGTCATAACATAAATCGGAGGTTTCCCAAGACGAAAAATGGAAGGATACACAAATCTCTTTTCATTGACATTTTTTTTTATGGATAACGTATCCAGTTATTGAAAAATAAAACATCCATACGGTTTTGAGGATAAATCTCTCTCTGTAAAGTAATAAGGTCATTTTTGGATAACATTAGCTTAATTTGTACCTGTCAAACATATGGGTCAGAAAGTATAGGTTTCTCTGAAATATATATAATTTCTTCCATCCCAAATGTTAGAATATTAGTCCTTCACTAGCCTAAATGTGTAAAAGAAAATGGAATGCGTTCCTCTGTGAACACAATGCTAATGCATGAGAGGCACAAACTGGGGCTTAGAGCCTTTCCTTGAGTAAAAGTATAGACATACTTTGTTCTGCAAATACTGCATTACAAGTGAAAGTCCTTCATTCAAATGTTACTTAAGTAAAAGTATAGAAGTATGTCCAGTATCAAAACATACCCATTATGCACCATGGCTGTTTCGAAAGTATTATATTATTATAGAATATGAATTAATATTAATGTTGTTTGTCAATATTAAGACAATTTTAGATTTTTTGTGTATATTTTGGTAGCATAAAATGTAAATACTAAATAAAATACAAGAATGACAAAAAAATATACTTAATGTAATGTAATTAGTTACTCACCACCACTGGTGTTCATCATTAACTATCAAAGTGTTGTTCAAATCCGAGTGTTTTATACATCTTAATAATTTATTAAAGGGACATTTAATTGCACAATATGATAAATAACGTCATAATTTACTACGAAAATAATTTAGATTTATTGAGCATTGTTCACTGCTTTTGTGTGGCAGTTTTACTTTGAAAGGTGTGGCAGGAAGTGGGTCTGAGTGGGAGTGCCACAGGAGCCATAGTGAACGCCTTGCATGCGGCTGTGAGAGTGATCTGAACCGCAGGCTGAGACTAACGCAACGGTGACAGGCCAGCTGCTTTACCCGCTGTATTCTCACTCTGTACCGGCTGTTTGTGTGTGAAAGACCGGAGTCATGGCTTCCCGCTCTCTGTGGTCCCTCGCGCTGCTCCTCGCGCTGCTGCTCCCTCTGCAAGGTGGGTAACGCTTTGTCTGCACACATGCACGTTCCGCCTTTTGTGCCGCACACCAATTCCAGGCCGAGTAAAGGTCTACCGGCCTGGGAGTCGACGTTAAGAGAGAGAACAGACAAATGATTATTATATACATACATTTTTTCTAATTATGTATGTTATATATATCATTTTAAGCTTAATTTTGTGGCTCCATTTGCTCCACATATTACTGATGCTGAGCTGTAATAAATTAAGTAATTCCACATTACTACATGCATGATTATGATTATACAGTTTTCTTTCAAATGGGACAGTAATTCAAGCTTTAATATGTTTTTTAATCTTTTTTTTTCGATCTGAAAGAATGATTATAGATGAAAGTGATGGGGCACCACCCACCCTTCCTGTCTGGTTTGCAGCAGCACATTCCATGCTGACAATGATGTCACTCTCAGTGCTTATTAATATGGAAAGTTAGTCACTAAAGGTGAATAATTTTAAAGCAGATGAGTTCATTCGGTTTAACGGTAGCACATGTCCTCACTCTACAATTGTACCCGCCTTACATCACTAACATCCAATACAAGCAGGTGTTCATTTGATTGCTTTTTAGGAGGGGTTTTTTCATTCTAAGGTCTGCATGGCAACCCATATTTTAAGGTATGGGCTGACTGAAAAGCTGTAGTCATAAAAGATTCACCTGGTTGTGTAAAAAAAAAACCCAACCAGCAGCCGGCTAGTTAATGAAATGCTACTATGCAAATTATGCAAATGAGATGCTAATGATGTGAATACATTTTCTAGCCAAATGTTGGGTTTAGGAATACAATTATAAGTGTCAAGTGATGTCAAGTATCACCTATATAAAAAAAAAGTTATATTAGTGTTGAGTTAATCTAGTAAAGATTTTGGGTTTGGATGTAGGCAGAATCTCAGTCTCTGCCCTTAACTTTTTAGACTTTATACCTGTTTTTTTTGGTATCTTTCATTGCAGAGTACATGGATTCCTAATGCTCTCTTTTGCCAAAATCTAAAATCAGTTAACCTCACTGAGTGGAGCTTTTTTACCTACCGTAACATGGGTCCAGGGATTGCTGTTGACCCAAAAATGAAGGAAGCGGTACGAGTTCTTCTAATTGGTCACATCTGGCCGGTACCCTTGCCCCTGGGCGGTAGGTGGGTGGGGCAGCAGGAAGGAGGGGGGTCTGTAGGCTGCGGGAAGTAATATGTCAAGGTCAGGGTGATGAATGGTCCTGTGGCACATCAGAAATTCACGCAGAAGTTCCTGTCAGTGTGCACGTTTTATTATCTAATTAGTGTTATGCTAGGGCTGCTCAATTAATCGTATTTTAATCGCAATTACGATTTTGGCTTGCAACGATTATGAAAACAACATAATCGAAAATAAAACAATTTTTTTTTCTTTCTTTCCAATAATTTTTTTTCTTGGTTTTTCAGTTGAATTATACTTAAAGTTCAGGGTAATCAACTGTTAAAAACATACTGTTCCATTTTTTTTCAATAAATGTATGTTTTCAAAGTAAATGGATAATCGTTTTTAATAATCGTGATATCAATTATTGACCCAAATAATCGAGATTATGATTTTTGCCATAATCGAGCAGCCCTATGTTATGCCCAACCTCATTTGAATAGAGAACTGCACTGATTCAGAGTCGCGCTCCGTAGAACTAGAGTTAAAATGAACAGTTAAGAAGAAAAAGGATATTGTAGCAGAACAAGAAAAAGAGTCTTCTTGAGCCACAAATGATTTTCCCTTGTCAGAACCTGGTGCCTACAAAACCCACAATGCAACATGAATGGAAACCTTTCTGGGAGATTTGGTTGCATTTTTGTTATAGGGCTGTTATTAGAGCTTTTATTTCTTCTATCAATTTATCTGCCAATTACATTCTTGAGTAATCGTTTAGTCTATAATATAGTAAAAAAAATCAATTTCAGTTTCTTAATGTCCCAATCCTTGTTACGAAAAAGAATGAGTAGATATAAAACTAGGAAAAGCAGGACAACTAATCAATGAATGAATGGACTTATTGTTGCAGCTCTTTTACTTGTCTATTTCAATTAGTTGTGAATGTGGTCAGATAACACGTTGTACAAATTAGTTTCTTTCAATTATATCCCCTCCTACATTTTATTTATAATCTGAGTACCGGTAACTACACCACCAAGGCTTGCATGTACTGTCTCTAGAACAGCACAATACACTATAGCAGATCCTCAGAGTGGAACATCTGAACCCATAGAGATCTGTGCAGTAAAACCCTTTATGGTTAGCTAGTTTCCCTAATGGCAGCTTGGAGCTCATTCAAGAAAAGGGCAATGGTAGGGAAGTCTTTATTACCTTTACAATTTTATTAAATTCTTCAACGTCTATGGTAATGTACTGAAGTTCCTCGGGTGTTGTGGAGCCAACCCATTCAGCATTTTACGTCCTTGGGGACACCTTGCCTGAGGGTCGATAATTGAAATGTTCCTGAGTCGATTCTAAAGTAGCTGGGTGCCTTTGTACATGTTGTACTTGCTCTCTCGCAACCTTCCCTGTCTGCCTTTTCTGTAGTCTATTGAATAGAGGAGAAATGCCAACAAACTCATTAAAAGGAGCAGTTTGAAATGTGCCCTAGCATGGGTAAGAAGCATGAAGCCTCGACTGCGGCTCTAAGATAAGAACTGATTCCCAGGGGGACATTAGGTGTGACAGCCGAGGAAGAAAAAGACTAGATTAAAAATAGATAGAAAGGGTGGAGCAGAGTGAATCTACAGCATAAATCAGAATTACAAGTAGTGTACATGATTAGTATGTTTGACGTGTAATCTGGGAAACCAGTCTTCTTCAATTATACACAATAAATACATTTTAAATTGTACTGCATGCTATGGAGTATCGTTACAATTTGTTTTTGTATGTGTCCGTTTAAAGTAGTGATTCTATTTAATTGTGTTATGTAGTCATAGCATATTCACCTACAATGGTGATGAAAGTATCATTTCTGTTAGTTCCAATCTAGGGTTAGGCACACACACTGTGCTTGTTTGTGACTGGCAGCCAATGAAGATAGCTAGTGTTTGTTTGTCTCTGCTTTTGTGTCCCGTCTGGTAAATGATCTCCGTTTTGCAACCCAGACAACAAATAGTGCCGATTAGTGCACTCTGGGCCCAGTTTGGCACCAAACTGTGTGACACACAGTAACACTGGCAGGGCCTGGGAACTCATCAGTAAAGTGGTCACACATCTACCAAAGAGCCTACATCAGACAGAAGATATCCACACTCTACAGTCCCTTTTGGTGTTATTTGTCAGATTGAATGCAATGTCTTCTGTCTGTCCCTCTGTCCTCTCTGAACAGTAGTCCTTTCTCAGGAGTTCAACCTATCTGATGCTTTGGGTGATGATGACACAAGTAAACCATGTAAGTACAATACAAAATAAATAACTTTTTCTTCTTTTTGGGACTCAGCGTCTCATAAACCCGATATCTTTATCTGCAAATTCCTTGAAAAAGATAAAAATATTGTGATCCATCTTTTGAATAATTATTTTTATAATTGCCAGAAAATCTTGTATCTCCATTGACTTCCATTAATATTCTACTATTCAAAGGCAGTAAGAAAACTTGAAACCCGAGATGTATAATCCGTGACTATATCAGGTTTTCAGTCTTATGCATATTACTTTATCAATACAAGATAATAGCATACGGAAATGAATGGAAGTCAATGGATAAGTAAGACAAATTGCGTAATATTAAAAGAAAAATGTGTAGCAAGCATTCCTTCAGATTCAAACCCACACAAACATACATTACATGATTTACAATATCTACTTATGAATGACTAACAGCAGAGTAATGACTTTTGTTGAATTATGTCTAAATACAACAATAATTCATATTCTTCAGCACCAACCCCCGCCCCGAAGCCAGCGGCACCAGCTGCACCAGCTGCACCAGCTGGAGGAGCAGAGGCAGAAGCAGGTAAGAATCAAATCATTTAAATCTATGATAACACCAACTTAACCTGGAAGAGTGACAGGATAATTTGTAAGTGTAAGTCAATGGGAATCAATGATGTAGCATTGTTAGATTTAAGGAGTAGTGGTGCAGGATTGCAAATCTTTGACCGTTTTTTTCTTAAAGTTCTCCTACAACATGAGCTCCTCTTTGAAAACTCAGTTTTTCAGAAGGTAAGATATTCTTAAAAGGAGTGGTTAACTTCGAAAAAAAATTCTGACTACTTTCATCTGCAAAACTGTCTCCCATCTTGTTTTTTCAAACCCGCCTTTGGTTTTTCACGAGCCCTGTCTACTTGTATGCTGTTGAATCATTTACAGTGGACTTATAACTGAAGTCTGTCGATCTCTAGGTTTGAGCTGTCAATGTTGTGTGCAGGTTTTGATTCAATTGGTGACATCACCACCATTACCACCAAAGCCCCCTTCAAGGCAGTAACCAAGGCCCCGTTCAAGCCCAAACCCAAGCCAGGTGAGAGAATCCTCAGCTTCCCTCTCTACTGCAGAGGACCAGGTTTTCATCAAAAGCCTTCATTTAATTTCCCCTGCTTTATATTTTACTAACCAGTTCTATTCTGCTTCTGTTTTAGTTGGCTGTTAATCCAATTTGACTTCCTTCCTTATATGATCTCTCTAATCTATATACTTAAGTCTGTTTCAATTTCTTTTCACCAGGGCTGTGGTCGAATAGTCTTTCTTGCTTAGGAAGGTTCATTGGTTAAATGCTTTGAAAAACTTGTTGGCAACCATGATAAGAGCAGTTTGAATCCTCTAAATGTTCATTTGAATGATTGATCTTGTATTCCCTTTAGCAAAGTATACACTGGACCATTATCGAAATAAAGCAAATCATGGCAGTCCCCTATTGTCATTTCCTGAGTACTTTTGAACCCTCCTGTCGTGTTTGTTCTCCCCCCTTCTTTGGTGTTCCTGGTCAAATTTGACCGGTCTGTTTGAACTGCTCTTACAAAAAAAAACATGAATCATGACCACATTTGATTTAACACCTTTTCAGCTGTAAACAATGTATCAGAATACTGGTTTACATGAATAACCACAGTGAATAGACACTGAAAATGTATGTATATTTGTGGTGTTTTGACTGGGAACATCATAGGTTTTACAAAGTTGACCAAATCACTCAAAATGAAATGAATGTGGTGAACAGCAATTGAATATGTTCAAATGCCTACTGTGGAGGATACCATGAGGCCTGGAAGCTATAACATGTAAAACACAATAGTTATGATTGATTGATGTAAGAAGTAAATTGGTCAAATCTGACCCGAACACGACAGGAGGGATAATCAAGTTTGAATTATTATTAAGTATTATGTTTTTCATCAGAGTCAATGAAGAGCGGTTAGCGAAAGGCTATTCGACCGCAGCCCAGGTGTTACTCTCTCTGCCCAAATGCTAAATATTGTTTCTATGTTGTTAATGGTTTTTTCTGACTGCTGCTTCTGCCTTTATTTTGCAAACCCACTGACCCCCGACCTTTTGGCCTCCACAGCTGCGGCTGCCTTTGACCTGTCCGATGCCTTGGACCCCAACAATGACATTGGTGGCAAGGATAAGAACAAGGGGCAGGGAGGTGGGATTAGCTATTAGCTCGGCATCACTTTATAAATCAGTGTTTTGTGTGGAATTAAAGCCGCTATGTGTGAAATATGAACATAGCAGAAATGTAAAAAACATCAATATAGTTAAATAATTAGATGATTTAATCATATACAAGTTCTAAACATGGTGGCTTTAATAGATAGTCAATATGTATGGTTTATCAATAACAGTATATTTAAGGCTGGGTGTTTTCATATATTATATATTATATTATAAAGAGCCCTTGTTAAATATACTGTAGCATAAACATCACCCCATCATATACACTGGGAAGTGCTACTTGTGCTTCTGAAGTGAAAAAACTGAAACTTTTAATTAAATTAAATGTATTATGTCAACAGATTTAACATAACTGTATTAGGTTATATAATGTTGAGATACAAATATTAGGTTCAACTTAATATTATTACCTACAACTAAACTAATACAGTTACGTGAAATGTGTTGACATAATACATTTAATTCAAGTCAATGTTTGAGTTTGTTTTGTGTATTTAAGTCCTCCCACATATATCGAAAGTCATTTAATGTCTAGAAATCATCTGGAAATCCCCAAAAGTTTTGATTTGGAGGACTTAAACAGTATGCACGATACTCATTTGTTCTGATAGTTCAGCGCATAAGAAAACAATCTTCAGACAGTTGCATGGCCACCATGCGGACAAGTGTCCCCACAGTCTGCTGGGATGAGTGCTCTGTTGTTAAACTCTACACAAGAACTTAATGAAACTCTTCATGTCTCAGAGGGAGCTCATTGTTTTCATCTGTTGCTCATCACCCCCTCCCCTACCCCCACTCTGCTGGTAACACTGTCCCTCACATGCTATTTCTGCATTCAAAGCTTTATTTGTGTTTATCTGCTTTCGACCAAATATAGTTTCTTCTTTTTCTCAGTTCATTATTTACTTTTTTTTGCAAACAAATAATCATTTAATAAGTTATCTTTATTTTAGGAATTAATGCCAATATTATTATCATTACTATTATAATAATAATAATATTAGTTCACTCATACAATAAGCTATAAGACTGCTGGCGGTCGACTTAAAACATGCTTATTTATACCCAGTATTTATCTACGAATTGGCTATTATGAAGACAAATGTCTGCTTACATTTCTAAATCCATTTGTTATTGAATTTATATTGATCTTATTTTATTATTTGTATTGGAATTCAACTTATACGTATAAAATTATATTGACAAAAACTCTGTTTGACGGGGCAAATAAAAGGTGCAGAAAACTGCTGTTTAATCTATTCTATATGATCAATTAGAATCAATTTAGACTCTTTGTCATGTCCAAATGGAAGAGAATACAAAAGAGCACCACCTGACGTAGTATCATTACACAAGGAATGACACCAGCTTCTGCATCATATACAGCAAAACAATGTAAAGAGGTAGTTGGTTGTTTTGAAGTGGGGTTTATGGGATTCTATCAAAATAGATGGCAGGCGGCATAAAGAAACAGACATACTTACCCCACTACAAAAACATCCGAAATATCCCTTTAAAAGCAAATTAATTATAAATCAAGCTTTGTGCACATTTGACATTTTGAGTTTGCTGTGCCTTCATGCAGCTTCCTTTTACAGTGACAGTTTATCATTTAGTGATTTAATGTAAATACTTATTTTCAGGTGGAATTTCTGACAATGATCTGGCAGATGTTGGTAAAGATGATACCTACAAACCTGACGGAGGCAAAGGTAATGTCTGCAAATGTATAACAAATCCATGTAAAGCTCCGTAGCTAAGAAAATTAACCCTTCTGTGTGCTGTGTTTTCACAGGTGGACGTGGAGACGATCAGATCAACTCCCGTGAAGACAACAATGGTGCGTTCTCTCTGCTTCTAGTGTTTGTTCATAAATGCATCTCTACTGTCTGTTGGTGTTAATGTCTGTGTGGGCGTTTGCAGAGACCACAGCAGAAGTGGGCACCATCGCAGGGATTGTTAGCGCGGTTGCTATGGCACTGGTGGGAGCAATCACCAGCTACATCTCCTACCAGAAGAAGAAGCTGTGCTTCGGCATACAACGTAAGGCTTTTACATTAAACTCATTAGTGGAGTCCCTCAGGGCAGTGACCTCACCAGTGTGTTACAACTGCTGCTGGCCTAGTCACATGATCAGTGCATACAAATATCTGCATTGTTTTTCACCAGATGTTAGAAGATGAGTCATTTAGTTTGTGTGTCATTTTTTTTGTAACTTCTAGCTTTTTTTCCAATTAGTTATCTAGGGAATCAGTTTGTACCATTACAACTTAAACCTGTTTTAATCAATGTTCTCATAATACTGTTTAAAGTGTAATGTAAAAGGTGAAGTTCCCCTTATAGTCTATTTGCCAGCTCATAGAGTCCTATTGTGAGTGTATTGGCCTGTAAATTAAAATGTTCTGCATTGTTAAAATAATTGCGGTCAAATATCGTACAACTTTAACTGAGTTGAAGCAAGCCTATTTAAAAAGTATAAGCTATCTGTCCTTTAGAGGACAGCTATCCAGTGTCCTCTAAAACTTCAAAATCGACCCAATTTCCTCAAAATCAGCTCAACTGGAGCCAAAATATGGCCTTTTCTGGTAAAGACTGTCATTTCGGATCCTGCAAATGTCAGAAATAGATTAAGCATCCTCAATTACCCCCCAAAGCCCCAATTTGAACTATTGAACTAGCTAATTAATGCTTATATGCTAATTGTGCAAATTGCCCAACATATAAAGGTTAGCATCCGGCAGTTTCTATGTGCTGAGGACCCTACTATACATTTCTAACATAAACTATTCAACATTTCCAGTTTCACAATGTTTGACTACACTAATTGCTACTTGGCCCCTTTTAGCTCATTGTTTTGGTTTTAGGACCCGCACAATATAGGCTAATGTTTTGTTAAACAAGCAAAGCCAAGGAAAGGGATTCATGTGAAGCTTAACCAATATACATAACTGATACCGTGTAAATATTCACCATAATAACTGTCAGTTGTTACTGTGGATTGTAGCTAGCTTAACCAACTGACAACGCTAACATTAGCATGCTAATATCTCACCTGAGTGAAGAAGCTAACTAATGGTGTTGTTGTGTTGTGACAGAGAGCCTGAATACTGACATGGTGAAGGCTGAGAACCCTGAGGCTGTGGTGGCTACAGAACCACAAGGTAAGAACATAGCGCTACACTATATTCACACTTATCATACACTCTTTCATATATATTTTCTTTTTTCTGAAAAAAACAGCAAAACTATGGATCATTAACCTGAATTGCAGGAGAGCCAGTAGGCAAAACACAGTGTAGAAAAACAAAAGCCCACGGAACAGAGTCGTTTTTGATGCCAGTTATTACACCATAGTGATTAGACAAATAACATTAACAAAGTTCAAAGATAGCCCTGGCTGGTTTCCACCTTAGTTTTCCCACTAAAATATCCTTAAAGGGGACCTATCATGCAAAATGCACTTTTGTACGTCTTTTATACATGAATATGTGTCCCCGGTGTTCCAGGGAACTCACCAAGTGTCAGAAAACACAACCCTCTCTATTTTCCTCCATACCCAAATCTCTAAAAAAAGGGGCTGCAACGGATCTGATAAAAACTGATCCAGATTTGAACACTTTACTGACGTCAGTAAAGTGGCGCTACGGCTATTGGGCCAACTCTCCACCTATCAGGGGAATGTGGGGTTGGGCCACGGCCGGCCATTGCCGCTCGAAAGCGCTGGAGACGCTGTAGTACATATGCCAGGCCTGTAAGTGGCGCTGTAGTCTGCCACAAAAGCAGCAAAGAAGACTTCCCGCGCATGGTTGCTATGGTTACCCTTCTGTTTATTCTCCGCTGTGGCTTTTTTTTCTCCCTCCCCGAGGCAAGCGTTTGCTCCTGCTGCTTTAATTCAATGCAATCCCTCCCCGTCGAGGCAAGCACTGTAATTCTCTCCGGTTAGTCCACCAGCAGATGACAAACACCCACCTCTCCGCCTCTTCCAAGGAACGAGGGGACCGTGCGGCAGAGTTTCTGTTAGGTTTTCTTTCGCCGGTCAAGATGTCCGTTAAAGTTTAAATCTTCCGGACAAAATTAGAAAAGTGCCGGTCAAAGGTCTTCTTTGTTATTTATTGAGCTTTAAAACAAATGAATAATGACTCTATATAATAAAACACGGAGGACGGAGATCTTTTTTTCTCCCCCTCTTCTGACAGCCCAGCAGCTGATCAGAGGACGTCTCCCCTCTCCTGCAGGGGGGCGTGGTCAGCTGCATCTCACAGAATCAGCCCCGTGCAAAAACAGTGCTGGAGAACAGCACATAGAGCGAAATGAGGCATGGCTAAAATGCATGATCTGTTTGGTATTTTGAAAACAGAAACGTATAAATATACCTTATATAGGTATGGCCCTACAAAATATCATTTAAATATAGCATGATAGGTGTCCTTTAACTTAAAAACATGAAACGAGCCAGAAAACAAACATTTATCAGGGAAAAAAGTGCACTGCTAATGTCAGTTTACAGGCTGCTAGCTAGCATCCTAACTAGCTACTCAACTGCAGTACATTACAGAGCAAGTTCCTCTAACAACATGTCGGCACCTGCCATGTAGCTACAACCCTTTTTTTTTTTTTTACTTTGTCTCTTTGTCCCATCATTGCTTTGTCAGATCTGTCCGCAAGACGACAACTGAACTTAAAACGCTTGTTTTCGGAATGGAGTTTGGATTGATCAGGGCTAAGCTAATGCTAACATTGTAGCTGCTCCATCAACACTGAAATTAACATCATCCAAATTAGGCATTAACATGGCAGGGATATTATTGTTTTAACCCATAGATATGTATATTTGGCTCGAAATGTAAAATGTTTTATTAAGGAATTATTTTTGACTATTGCATTCTCATCTTTTTGTAAGACCTTGAGAATAATAAAACTATAAAAATTAACAATACATTCAAAAAATATGTTAAGATGACACCCACAGGTTATGACATATACACCGTCTAATATAATATCTCTTTATTATATTAAGGCCACTAATGTGTGTTTTTATTTTGCCTCTACAGTCCAACAGACTCTCCTGGAGCCTGCCAGTGCTGAACCTCCCACTGAAGAGAACGCTGTGTAACACACTTACAACCTAGAACACACACACAAAGGTCAACCACCTACATGCGCTATTTGTCCAAACATCCCCCACCTAACACCCCTCCCTGCACACACACAAACAAACACACACATACACACACAGCCATGCTACAGAATAGACTGTTGTGTAGCATGTCCTTGTTGCCCTGCAGCTCTGTGCTATAAACGTTGGGATTTGTAGACCTTTTTCGCTGAATGTGAACACAGATTGTTTTATTTCTCTGCTATAAAACATGGCCGAAAGTGTAACAAATCTTGCCAAATGTATCTGTAAATAGTAATTTATTGTGCTGTTTGAACACCACTAACAATGTTAGTTTGCAGTTATCCGGCCTTCAGCATGTACTTAAAACAAATTGAAAGAGCGGTTCATCTTTTTACACTATGGGGAAAGAAGCTCCTCTGGGGTGTGTGTCGAGCCTCTTTGAGTTTGCAGGAAGTCAGTAACTGCGTAGGGAACTGGATTGGATTATTATTGATTGATTGGGACAATGATTTGTCAGTGATCCGCTGCTAGTTTCCGGAGTGAACGAGGGAGCGCTTTGAGATACACTGTTTCTGAGAGTGAATGAAGACCATTTGACCAATATTCCCCAAAATTCAAAGCCTCGTAGCAACTGATTATCTAATCACTTGTGAAATGTGATAAGGTAGTCAACAGTAGCAAGTGTTACCTCATAGAAAAATAACATGGTACTCTAGGGGCAAATCTCATATTCAGAACTCAAGTTTTATCATGTAATAACAATGTTAATCTCTTAATCCTACAACATGTGAATTTTTTTATTTAATTTATTACATTATCAGTTTGCTATATTATCATTATGAGGTGATCCTCTGTGATAATAATGTTATATTTAATATCATGATTAATTGAAGTTTCCCAAGAGCTCCACTATAAGTGAATGAAGTCCATTAGTGGGACGTACCTCATAGAACTGACTGCAGGTAGCTACTGTTTACATCATGTGACAGTGACATCATTAGTTGCTACATGTAGCCTACTTTCTCCTCATGTTGTCTATCCTGATGTACAAAGTTGCCTTATTCAGATTTGGATCTTTTTGCAGTGGGAAAAAAAAAGGCGTCCTAACATTTCCGTCTACTTACAACCTGTGACTTTTTATAGTGTAAATATATTCCGTTTTTGTTCAAGTAGCCTTTAATGACAATGCCTAAAGAAGGGAGCCTGGCTTAGTTTTCCAAATTGGTGATGGTGAAATGATTGTGATGAGCTAAAAAAAATCGAGCGGTGGGATTAGATTTGTTATCAAAAGTGGGATTAAAGTTCAGGAAATTCACCAGATTTGTAGCATGTAGCATAAAAAACGATGCTAGCTTAATCAGTTCCCCTGCAGTTAGAGCTTCAAAATGCACAGCGTGTTCTTTTCTTCAGGGGGAAGATATTTGAAAAGGAAAATAAATAACCTTGGCACTTTGTTCAGGATGTGGCGAGGCTTGTGGAAAGGCACAAAATGTGATTTTTGTTGAAGATTAACTGCTATATTCAGAAGATAATAATGTTAGTACTATGTTTTATTGTGTTAGCAATGCGGTGCCAGTGTGTGCAGAAGAACTCAGATTTGATCTTTTTCCCATTGTGGCCATTTTAAAATTACATTAATGATAAATCTACAGGGACGGTGAATGTATAAAAGTAGCATCACATTATCACAAAACTCTTTTGATACTGTAGACCAAAAAACTATTGCCCAATCATAAATAGATTTCGACAAATATCAACAATAACTAGATACCCTTATCATATACCAATTCAAAGGTAATAATCTGCACCAAAAGGTTATGAGATATTATTCTATATATAAAGAAATCCATGATTATATTATTGAATTAATATAAAATTAGTTAAAAGTCTTAAGAATTGTCTAAACTTTTCCCACTTTATTGCGATTACAATTATTGCCTTAGTATTCTTTAAACAGAAGTGTAAAGACATACCCGTTCTGAGCGCCCAATGGAAGGCCAATAGGAATGCTGCTGTTATAGCTTGAGTCCCAATAGCCAATGACTGGGTTCGGTTGGCATGATTGACAGCCACTGTCTCTCTAAATTCACTGTCTGAATATGGGCGTGCACTGTTAGATAATTGGGCAAACCCTTTTTTTAAGCAAACACAAGCCTTTGGAAGACTTCAAAATGGCCACAATGGAACAAGATTTACAAGAGTGGGAAAGTGAGGTATTTGTGAAAGATGTCCGATGTGAGTCAGAGAAGAGATTGAAGAAGTTGGCACAAAGACAATACTGGAGGATATGCATACAAAAATAGAAGTCTGCTTTAGCCGTGTAGATGGAGTCAGCAGCAGTAGTTAGCTTTAGATTATTGAATAGCGTCATAACGAGTGTTTTTGGAAAGTTGTGATGGTTGTACATATTACTGTGAGCAGTTCTGTGTTTGTACTATTAGTCTGTAAGAGCATATTTATGCTCCATATTTTACTCTTTAGTGTATGTGTGTGTTTACACTCTTTGCCTGCTCTTTTTACACTTTGTACCCAACTTTCCTAATAACTTAGCCTAACATTTTTGTAGATAGTTAACGCTTCCTTGTTCTGTACTGCCAATGCTTTGTTGTTCGCCTGAAGAGGTCTCTTAAGTTCCTGAGCGAGAACGAGGGCTGCATCTGAAACCATTCACTGTTTTCTAAACTGTCTGATATTTAGTCTGTCGGTGGTTTTATAGCACTGCTCAGGATCTCTGGTGAGAATGATTGAACCCTATTTAGTGGGCTTTAAATATCTCCATATTTAAACATAATGAACTAGAACGCACTAGGAGATCCAAGAACTCCGCCAAGACCCTTTCATAAAAAATAATTGTGTATCCACCCCATGATTTCGGATCTGCTCCAAATTGTAATGGGTTCTTCCTTGGCCCATGCTATGCCTTCCCACCAAGATTCATGATTGGATTGGTAGTTTTCTTGTAATTCTGGTGTCGAACAAACGGAACCGAAATAAGTACCCCATTGGCGGAGGTGAAAATGCTGCGTTCATGTCACAGGTAAATTAAAGATTTATAACTTCCTTTACCTTCTTATGTGCAAATCTCCACACATTCAGCTAGTGCTTGGAACCATGCACGCCTCTTGAAATGCGCAATGGTTCCTTGGTGGCGATTGAGTAGTTGGTCTTTTGTACCCTAGAACCAATTAATTCACCTTTAAAAACAAACCAGATAGCCAATGTTAAGTTGTTAACGCAGAAAAGTAGAAACAAGCGTGACATGAACGTGGCGTTGGATTGGTAATGACCTGAGTAGTGTCTGATGGATCTGTATCTACAGAGGTGAATGCGTGAAGGATGTTTGCTGTGGCAGTATGTGTTGTATGAGCTGTAAAAAGCGTTGGTGGTGTGTTCGATATTTGACAGGATGCAGCGCAGTCCTACATGCCACACCCTGGTCTTCTCAATGTTGCCTTGGGAAATAAGACACCTCTACCCACAGTTCCTTTGTGTTGCTCCTACTGTAGAAGTCCTTAAACACTGTTAAAATGCAACCTTACACGGTTTGGAGTTGCTTTTGGAACGAAGTGTTTATGGACTAAGAGTGTTGGGAGCAGTGATACTAAACTTGCTTTGCCTGGGGGCCACTTTGGCAAAATGACAGGAGGTCAGGGGCCAGTTTCTAACTGAACCTTGCTCAGGTCGAATTGGTAGCAAGATGGTCTAGGTAAGGCATTGATCTTGGATGGTTGAGGTTAGGACAGGTGGTAGGGAAAAGGTGGTAGAGTTTTTTAAGACTTGCGCTAGAATTGCTATTTAGACTCAACAGTTTTCTGAGGTGTTTCTAGATGATTGAAGATATTCAGTGCTTGGACTTGACATCAATTTGGAGGTTTGAGGCACTTTTTTTGGTAAACAAGCTCCATTAGTGTATTTTAATTCTTTTTTTGATATGCCCTTGTGAATGGTTGGCGAGCCACCCTATCGGCTGTAAGTTGAGTATCACTGGGTTGGAGTAACAAACCTAAACTCATGTGTTCACCTTGTAAGAGTCATGCCCTGCCAGCTGTAATTCAAATGGTGCTCCTCTCTTTGCCTTATACCCTACAGTCTCACAGGGACGCGCCACAGTATTCATCCAACACCTCCGTAGCTGCACCCTGAGCTAGAGGAACACCCAGAGCCTTCAGCTCCTTTGGGTGGTTACCTGGAGTGACCGGTAGCAGCACCCAGAGGACTGAGAGGTCTGAGTGTTTGGTCCAGCTCTGGCAGCTGAACCTCACACAAAGCAAACGCAAAATAACAAACCTTTCTGTTTACTGAATGTATTGAATGTCTTTTGTGATATAGCAAAAACCTTTGGCCTGTAGCAAAAATACAAATTCACCAAAGATTCAGCATTGATTGAGATTGAAATTGCCTTTACGTATTGGGGTTGAATGAAAAAAGGTTTTTGGAATAAGCCTGAAAGAAAATAATTGAATCTGGGCTTGGATCTTATGTAACGCTCATTTGAATTGGTTTGACGGTAAGATAAAACGTGATTGATTAGATTGAAGGGTATCGTATAATGGCCTGTACCATGCTCACTTTGAAACACGATTTGTGAATGACTCAGTTTTTATTGCCACTGTGGATGTTGATACTGCTTTAAGATTCAGCTAAAACAATTATCCTCGAACACGTGCCATACTGCTGTTTGGAACCGGTTACCAGGAGTGCTCTCTGAAAAGGATTAGGGATCATATAGGTCTGTATAACAAAGCGTGCTAAAATAATCAAGGCTGTCATAACAAAGTGATTTAGGCTCAGGGTTTCAGCTCTTTAACCTGCAAAACCAAATATTTAGACGTTAAGAAGCTGCGATACCAGCTAAGGCTAGCTCTAGCTTAGTTAGAAAGGTGAATTGATTCACAACTGAGCAAAACAATCAAAAAGTACTTACCGGTAAAAATGAACTGCTGAGAGTGTCTCTTGACGTGTTAGCCACTTGTCAATCACAAGGCAGCCAGTGCCAAAGCACACCTTGCTATATTGGCTATTTTACCTAAAATTGGACAACAATATACAGATCTAACATCATGCTGTATTGAAGAAGATTTGGAACAATTAATTAAGAGAATAAACTTATCAGAAAACTTTTTACTAAGGTAATAAATCTTATATAAAGTAGGGTCATTTTCTCTCAGACTACTATACAATCAGGACCTCTCTTTGCAAACACTGTAGTTGCCCCCTGCTGGTTACCCCTAGGTAAAGAACCTAATTGTATTATCCCATAATGCAACTCTAAATCGTTACCATATCAAATCAATAGGCGTAATCTATAAATGTGGTTATCGTAGCAACACAATTTGAATTATGCAAAACTGCCTCCTTAAGTGATTGTACTAATTAAGCCTGGATTACAGTTAGCTCGCTTTGTGGAGTGTTTAGATAGGATCTGCATTGTATCAGGACAGACGTGCCTGAGTCCTCTTCCTGCAGTACACTCTAGTGCCTGTCACCGGGCCATGCAAAGCCCGCCCAAATACAACCACCTCACGTCCCAGTTTGACACACAAAGAAAATCCCAGCACAGCTTTCCATTATTTGATATCTGAGGGCTGGCTTTGCACGGCCCCCTGTCACATACAACACACACACACACCTTCAGCATACTGCTCTCATACACACTTAATGCATGCTTTTCTCTACATACTGTAACCACAGTAAGGTGGAGCGTACGAGTGTTGAACTCTGTGTCTTCCTGACAACTGAATGTTGGACAGTCTTCATTGCTTGAAGTGTACTAGTGAACTCTGCTTTTTCTCTTATTCCACTACGATAAGTCTCTGGCAATATGTTACGGAAACTTTTTACTAATATGAACTAATAAAATAAAATGTTGAAAAAGACAAGAACGAGTCTGGAGTTTTGATTTGTTTGTTTTTAAATGGAATGTCAGAAGTGATTATGGCTCATTAAGAGGTTTAACTTCTCATAATCCATCACATCATTTACATAAAAAAAGGATTTGTACAATTGCATGCCACAGGTACACAGTGAAATGTAGAAGTCACATCGCATTAGAATACAAGGGACATCTTTCAAACTGTAACAACACCAAACATAGGTCAGAGGTGGTGAACCTGATTCTTGCTCATTTCTATCAAGTGTGGGTCCTGTTCTTTAACAGTGGATAATAACTTGGGTGATACTGTTCTCAATCCAGTTCTCTTCTTTAAATGCATTGCTTTGTTTGTCAATTGAAGTGTGCTCTTGAAATGAAGGCAAAGTGATCAGTCTTTTTTTTTTTTGAGAGCTGATCATTTAATTGTGTTCATTATTGGCAGAACTGCTGTAACTGTACAATAGTTACTTTAACGCTTGAACATGTTAGTTCAGTGATATCTGCATTATATATCTTTCATAAAGCACATTTAACTTGAGGGATAAATAGGATTCTTTACACCAGATTTCTAGACAACTGAATTTAGTCATCAATTGTTCTTAAATAATGTACCTAAAATTGAATCACAAACTCTAATCTTAAAATCTGTATTTTGTATCTCACATATATTTGATCATATTTAACTTTATCAATTCTGAACTGTAATAAAAAATATCTTGGCATTTTCAATATTTAACATTTCCTCATCTTTATAAAAACACTGTCCTACGATCGTGTTGCTTTTAAGTCGATTCAATTCACAGTCAGAAACTTTGGGAGCAGCTCCACACACACACCTGTGGTTCGGTTCGTTTGTGAGAAACACTGGCTCGAAATTATTTACAGTAAATGACAAAGTGGTTTGGGGGATCAGGGAAAGTCAAAAAAAATTAAAATAAAACAATCATTTAAAAAAACAAATATAGGAAATCATGCAGAGTAAGCCGGCAGTGTCCTTACTGTGGGGTGGGGGTTCATTGTGATTCTCCTCTTCTCTGATTGGCCAAAAAACATTATTTTCATATGATTTCTGCTTAGCATAGCTCACACCAATGATTCTAATCAGTCAGTCACTGACATAGTAAAGGGAGAGGAGTGTGTGAGTGTGTGTGTGAAAAGTCACTGGCAGTCATGTGACTTCCTGAGCCCTGAGAAATATAGAAGCAATTCTTCATACAAAAACACAAACACCAGTGAAGTGGGTGATGAGGTTCCCACAGTGCAGGGGGAGCTGGTCTTTCTGAATACTTGATGCATTTAAATAATATAAATAATAAGCACAGGTGTTGTATCAGGGTTGTTTGTAAAAATGTATTTAGGAATGTTAATATAAAATTGTAAACATGAGTATTTGTGCTAATTGGGCAAAAACATGCGTTATCTGTGTGTGTGTAGGGGTGTTTCCGGTGTGTGTGTGTCAGACAGCGCCGTGCAGTGGCGTGCTGTGTGCGGGGGAGTGTTCGGAGGAGGAGGTCAGGGAGTGGGAGGTGGCGTCTCTCTGCAGCTCATCCACCCTCCTCTGCAGCTCCCCCCTCAGCAGCAGCAGCTCCTTCAGCGTCTGGTGCACCGGCACCTGCAACACACACACACACACACACACACACACACACACACACACACACACACACACACACACACACACACACACACACACACACACACACACACACACACACACACACACACACACACACACACACACACACACACACTTAAGTCATTTTACAATATTTCCCTCATTATTACAACATAATATGAGGTAAATATAATATTACCAGATAAAAACTTAATATATAAATCAAGCTTGAATCATTCTGGAATAAAAAGTCAATATCTGTCAAAATAAAGATTTACATGGAAAAATGTATATATTATTACGAGTACAGGTTATTTAGATTTAAAGGCATAATATGACCACAGGTGTAATTGTATAATTAAAAAGCATAAAATAGAAGTAAAGATATTTCTATGATAACTTTATGATAAGGATGATATAAAGAGAAAAAAGTTTGGGTTTTACGAAAAAGTATCTGGCCCTAATAGTCATAGCTTATGATGAGTCCAAACATCTCCATCACTGCTTTAATCCCATCAGCCCCACAGAGTTGGTGTACCTGGGGTCTCATGCGGGGGTTCCAGCGGGCGTAGTATGCGGTCCACAGCTCCAGATGTCTGGAGGACACCAGCGGATACAGAACATGGTGCTCGTAGTCCACGTAGAAAGGGTTGGTGAAGTCCTCAAACTGGCTGTGAGGGGACGACAGAGAAGAGGACATATTCTGATCATTTAGTGTTTAGTGTCTCTACTGGGACATGTCTCCATGCTTTAATGTTCAAAAAGCTCTTTATTTGTCTCATACTGCCTGTGCTGCAGCACCTCTTTTCACCCTCTGTCTGAAACCAGAGCCCAGTCTGCTCTGATCAACAGTTTAGAGATGTGTCGGACATGTCCCTCCCCTTAGCCTACCTCATACATGTGTTGAAGCGCTAGCCAATAGAAGTGAGAGTATTACGCATGTACATTCACTCCTAATACATAAAGTACATTTTTCGAATCATACTTAAATACTTCTACTTGAAATTGAGAATGTTTACAGTGTGGTATTGGAGATTTTACCCCCGAAAAAATAAATCTGAAAACTTTTGCCACCACTGGTTACATACTGTAGCGATGTGACTGAAGTAAACAAAGGAGTCCAATGGAGGCGGGGGGGGGGGGGAGTGGGAGAGAAACTCCCTCCGAAGGGCTGACAGGGATTTTAGTCTTTGCAGACCATTTACATGCACACAAACCTAAAGAACACACTACAGGAAAGAAAACCCCCCAACAAGCACAATAGGGCCTCTTTAAACATTCAGAATGGCTCCTCACATGATCACTTTTGTCCAGGTGGTGAGTATTTACCTGTTAATGTAGGACCACAGGGACACAGTCTGTGTCTGCACCTCCTGCACAGGACAGAAGAAGAGTTTCATCCAAAACATTCCTTCAATGTGACGTTCATCTGACAGAATGCTACACCTGCTAACAGAAGAATACCTTGGCTGCCCGCTCCTGCTCACTGTTATAGAGGAACGTTCCAAACAGACAGCTGTACAGGTGGTCCAGCACTGTGATCAGGAACAGCTCGTTGAACTCAAAGGCTGCTGGGAACTGTAGTCAGAGGAACACAAGTGATAAGATTGAGTGATTGAGCCTCATAAGAATAGGCTCATATGTGAATTGTGTGCTGCTTTATGAAATGGTTCTGTCTGGCTATGACATGTCTGGACTCTGGGGTCAGTCGTTTCTGAGGTCTTGACTGACCTGTCGAGTCATCTGCCAAACACAGTCGATGAACTGGACGAAGAGAGGCGAGCGCTCTGAGTTAGCATGGTTCTCATCACCGTGACCCACGCGCTGAAACACAGGAAGCAACACTTTCAATAGACATAACACAAACCCTGGACATCAGGTTTTAATTTTGTGTAATAAATAAGTGGCAGTAATATGTTATACAATGTGTAGGAAGGGTGATATAAGCATACAAAACAATTCTGACAATGGGGCATCCATTGCTTTTCTATCCATTTGAAGTAAACTGTGCTGGTGCACTGTGCTTCTTTAAATCTTTTGTGGATCAAAATAATAAAAACTTGCATACAAATAGTTGTTTTTTTATATATAACTATGAGTCTGACAGCAAGTTGAATATAAAAGTAGTACAATAACTACAGGTAGATATAGTTTTGATCATGAATCAATGGTGATATCATCAGAATAACAACTTTTTTCTTACAGCAGCAAACTTGTGTCCAAAGCTAATCCATTCCTTCTCCACGAGAACCTGCAAACACACAAACACACATTATTATTCAGTACAGATGGAGACTGCGGTGTAAAGGTGATATTGTGATGCAGTGTGTGTGAGACCTGGAAGCCTCTGAGCGTTCTGTAGTGACTGTCCAGCATCAGCATGGCCAGAGAGGTGAGCTGCGCGGTGCGGTCCCAGCCGTCGCTGCAGTGCACCACCACCGACGACTTCCCAGACTCCAGCTTATCTGCCACCTTTGCTGCTCCTGATAACAACAACTACACACAACATGTACACACGTCAGTGAATTTACAGTAGAATAAATGAATAAAAGACCCTCTGCTATACTGAGTGTTGAAGATGGAAATTAGCAAGCTAGCAAAAATCATCTCTTCTAATTTTGAGAGTCATCTTTTATCCATGGTCCTTGTTTAATAAAGACATAGGCAAGGCAAAACCTTTCAACACAAGGCAATTCAAAGTGCTTTACAAAAATGAAAAACATTAAAAGCATTAAGAAATAGTGCTTCGGATTCACATTATAAAATGGTATTTAAAAACATTCATTTAGGTGAAGATCAATTAACTTACTCCAACTTGAATTGGACCATAGTCTCCTGGTGGAATGGTTATGTAAATGTTTGTGTCATCTGCATAGCTATGCTAACTATGATTTTACCTAGAAATGGGAGGTTTGACCTGTAATTAGTGTGAATGCTGTGCAACAGCATTCCACATAGTTCTTCAAATCTTTATTCTTCAGCTTCTTCTTCTTATTTCAACACATTTTTGCCCTTTAACTACTTCAGCATACTTTCAGCTACAGAAACCATTCAAATATTAAAATGTTCAGCTCCTTCAGGACATAGGTGCTATAACTTTTCTTGTTTATGACATTTATGCTTTTTTATAATATTCAGCTTTTTAAACTATTTTTTTAACATGTAACTCAATGGCCGGCACCTTCAAATCTTCTTTTACCTAGACCTTGCGCCAAATGCTACTCCTTCCACATACTTTCAGCTAGAGACTTCATTCCAACTTTACACAGACCTATTAAACTTGTATTCAGATTTTTTACACTTTTTAAAATTTTAACTTAGTTTGGAGCTTGGTAGAGAGGCCTTCTTCCGATTTTAACATTAGTGTGTATTGCGCCGCTCGTTAAGTCTAG